TGTCTCTCTTCAGTCCTAAATATTGTTTCCTGGATTTTCTTTAGATTTGGCTTGTTGGATAAAAAGTTTTTAGGTTGTTAATATTGTTTTTCTTTCTCCTTCAACTATGGTGAATAGTTGTTGTTGTTGTTGTTTGTTTTGTTTTTTTCGGAGCTGAGGACCGACCGAACCCAGGGCCTTGGGCTTGCTAGGCAATCACTCTACCACTGAGCTAAATCCCCAACCCCTATGGTGGATAGTTTTGCTGGGTGTATTAATTTAGGCTAGCAGTCATAGTTTTTTAGAATTTGAAATGCATTTCTCCAGGCTCTTCCAGCCTCGAAGGTTTCCACTGAGAAATCTGTTATCTAATGGGTTTTCCTTTACATGTGACTTGTGCTTTTTCTCCTGCAACTTTCAGCATCCTTCCTTTTATATGTGTACTTAGCATTTCAACTATGGTGTGCTGTGGGGGTTTTCTTTTTCCAGTCTTGCCTGTTTGGTGGTCTGTGTGCTTCTGGTATCTGAATAGGTGTGTTTTTCCTTGGTTTGAGAAAGTTTTCTTCTACGATCTTGTTGAAGATCTGGACTATGCTGTTGACTTGGGGTTCTTCTCTCTGTCTATGTCTGTAATTCAAAGGTTTGGTTTTCATGTAGTCCCACATTTCCTGTGTGTATTTTTTGTAATGTGTCATATCCCTTGCTTTTTTGTTCTAGATTCTCTCTCTCTCTCTCTCTCTCTCTCTCTCTCTCTCTCTCTCTCTCTCTCTCTCTCTCTCTCTCCCACCCCCCCCCCCCCCCGTGTCCCGTCCCCCCCCCCCCCGAAAAGGCTCTTTTTTTTATTCAAGTAACTGCAAATAGAAAACCAGAGGGAAGCCCCAGGCTGGGATAAATGGGATAAATACTGGCCACCCCTCCTCCACAGAACAAGGGGAGAAGGCGGGCCTACACCCTTTCCCCATCAAAATGGGCCCCTCCTCACTCAGCTGCAGCATCTAAGGGGCAGCAGGGCCCCATTTTCTCTGATGTGTGGTGGTTGGTAACCAGCCTGCTGCGCCCCAGCCCCCCTTTCCCCTAGAGAGTCGGGGAGAATGCAGGCAGAACAGGAGGATGAACTTTTGGTGCTGGTAGCAGCAGCAATGGTGGGTGTCTGAGAATGAACACTGAACAAAAAAAACAACACAGCTGTCCAGAGGTAGTTTGGGAACAGAGGGAAAGATGGAACCAGAACCTTGGGGGGCAGGGAGGAGCAAGGCGGGGGCAAGGCTGGCTCCTTAGTGCCCTACTGGAGGAAGGGAAATAGCCTAGAGTCGGGGTAGGGGAGGTGAGTTAGAGCCCCATCTGCCTTAAGTGGGTGCCAGAGAAGAGGACCCCACCCTGGAGGTGGGTGGGGACTCCCATGTCACTGCATTGGGTGCCAGGGGAGAACAAGATGAGTGGGGCCATCATGCCCTACTTCCTGTAGTTCAAGGGACTTTAGCCAACCTAGTGCAGGGTCTAGGTAAGGTGGAGCAGAAGCGACTGAGAACCCACCTGCGACAGTTTGGTGGGGCATGCTGGGATGGAAGCATCCCTGCACCGACCGACCGCACCTACTGCAGCCAGGTCAGCCAGTGGGGCTTGTCAGAAGCGAGACGGGGCTGGGGCCCTTTAAGGCCGGGGAATGCTCCCGGGACCCTCTACAAGGAAGCCAGGAAGAGCAGAGCAGAAGGGACCTGCAAGACAGCCTAGAGAGCCTTGTCTCTAATGGAGATGCGCAGCAGGACAGGCTGCGACTAAATGGGAAGTTAGCCTTGTCGGGAGAGGGCAGGTGTGCTGGGGAGGAGGGCACAGGGACTGAGCCAAATCCTGCTCCTGGGGGGGCCGCAGAGCCTGCAGCTGGTGCGGTAGTGTGCAGTGGGGGGGGGGGGGGGGCCTGGAAGCGGGGCTTCCAGTCCCGGGGGGGGGAAGGCTGCTCCTCTGATGGCCAAGGAGCAGGCGGCACTGTGCGTGGTCACTGCTCCTCCTCCGAGGACTCCTGGGAGATGCCCCCCTTTTCCTCCTTCTCCAGTTTCTTGGGTCTGCCCCTTGGTTTCCTCCCTGGAGCTGTGGTAGTTTTCCGCGTCTTTGGTCGGCCCGAGGTCTCTTCGGTGTTGGCACTTCACTGAGCTCCTGGGGAGGCTGCTTGCGCGGCCTGCCCTGGCCTCGCTTCACTGAGCTCCTGCGGAGGCTGCTTGCGCGGCCTGCCCTGGCCTCGCTTCTCAGTCCCGTCCTTCTGCTTGGAGGCCCGAGGCTGGCTGGACTTTGAGCTGGACTCCTCTTCCCTCACTACGGGGCAGTAAGGGGGACTGGCTGTGATGGCCTTCTTGGAGTCGACTTGGAGTCCCAATTAGAAGAGCGCAGCCCCGTCTCGGGGGAGCTTAAAAAGAGCGACCCAGGGGCCTAGATCCTCTCTTTATTCTTGAGTCCTGATTCCCTGTCGTCTACTTGATTCATCCCAATTATAAGGCTTTCCTTTGCATCTAATTGAGGTACTGGGTTTTTCAATTCCGTCTTCATTTCAGCTCGAGTTCTTTTCAATGTTTCTATTACCTTATTGAATTTTTATTCATACGTTTTAGATTGTCTTTGCCATTTCCAACAACTTTGTGTTTTCTTGGGCATCACTCAGGCATTTATTCTCTTTAAGCTCTTTATCCTTGATTTAATTGAACTGTTTTTTTTTATCTTCTTTAAATTTTGTTCTTTGATGAAATTTATGATTGTTATGATTGTTCTTTTAAATTCTGTGCCTTCTGGTTCATCTAGGAAATTCTCACAGCAAACATTTCCACAGAACGGGTGGGTTTTGAAGAAAAGATAATGGCTTGAGATTTCAATTTCTATTGTTAGTGTATTTTCAATAAGATCTGGGCATCTTTTGATAGGTTCTAAATCTGATATGGATAGAGCAGGTTGGTGCAGATAGAGAAGTTTTGTGGGTAGGTTGGGTCTAAGAAGTTAGAAATGGTTTGGGAGGAATGTATAGAGGACACAGGGCTGATGTACAGGATTTGCCTCCTGGTCTAAGCCTGGAGTATGGGGGGTAAATCTGGTTGGGTGGAAAGGTTGGATGTAGTGTGGGTGGGGCCTAGAAGTTTGTGTTTCAGGCAGGGGTGGCTAGGCTAGGCTGGGACTCTGGGTGTAGGACCCAGGCTAGATCTGGCAAGTTGGGGAGGGTCAGTGAAACTCACTGGGCTAGACGCTAGGATGTGGAAGATCTGGCTGGGTGGAGAGATTGAATGTGGTGTAGAAGAAGCCTGTAGGTGTTGGACTCATAGATTATATTTTAAAAATTATACCCTGTATAAAGGATTTAACCTTCCATAGGTTTAGGTATTCACAGAAGTGTCCACACACCCTCAGATACTCAGGGGTGACACCGTCACTAAGTACAGAACATTGCGTTGCAGTTGGTCACATCCTACAGTCAGAGCCTCATGGCTCACCAAAGCTGACTATTACATTTTTGAAGATTTATGTAAATTGGTTGTAAATCACAGTCAATATAAAAATTAAAGTGTTCTGGAACCAACAATAACAGCAATAAAACATTGTTTTGTCATCATCTTCATGGAAACCTGTTGATAGTACTGAGGCTCCAACCCAGGACTTCACACGTCAGGCCAGAACTCCACCACTGGTCTATATCCCCAGCCTTATTCTCACTACCTTTTATTCCTTATGTTCAGTTGGTTTATGCCATCTGTGTCTCCAAATGATAGGGATCCCAGATGATATACTGCTGTCACTTTTAAGATTTTCCACAGCGTGAGTATTTCTGTCAAGAAACAAGCACATCGAACAGACACCTTCCCGTCCGGCCTCTTCTTTGGAGAGGCCGTAGACATTCACTACCAGCAGCTCCAGTGAGGAGGGGGTGGAGACTGCTGGGAGACTGACACCCGTGCTCTCTCTGCCTTTCAAATTAGGTTCTACATCCGTGTGAACTACTTCATGCCAGAGCCTGAGCTCAATTTGATAGGTATTATCTGGCCAGATCTGCCAGGTAAACTCGATGCTGCTTATGAAGCTAGTATAATGGATGAAGTCCGCTTTTTCAAAGGTAATGTTTATGATTGTTTCTGTTTGTATAAATTAAACTTTCATTTAGCTTTGGGGTAAGATAAAAGGGAATTAGCTATGTTCACTGCATGTGCTTCTGAAAAATCTAAGTTTCACGAAGTAAGTTAATAGGAGCCCATCATCTTGGTTAAAAGTTACATTGCATGTTTATCATCATTTTGATTAAAAAGTTAGTGAATAGAGATGTAACTCTTTAGGCCCGTTAAAGAACTTGCAAACAATCACTGTATTTTAAACTTCCTTCATACCACTGGGATTACTCAGAAATAAAAATTGAGAGACAGGAGGCAGTTCTACAAAGGACAACACAGAATGATTTTGTGCATGCAATTTCCTGGACCCCATTTTAATACAAACCGTCTCCTTGAGAGAGAAGGAAGCTGTCACCAGGGAGGCAGATGAGGCACCGCATACTTGATCTCTCCTAGTAAAGTGATGGTATGCTCCCCTGACTTTAATTTAGAGCCTCTTTTCTTGATGTCGGGCTGTGCGGTGGTGAGCATTTTACCACTTGACAAGGAGAAGTCAGTCATGTTCCCAAGACCCTTGTCCTAATGACATCCTGCCTTGAAAAACAAAATAGACTCTCAAGTCTCACTGTGAAACTTCCTTGAGAGAATCTAAATTTTACTAAGTTTTCCAGGAAACTCATTCACAGATTAATATATGAGAAAATCAAAGTCACTGTGGATGGAATTCAATGAGTCTATGTGATTCAGTGAGATCAGAGTCTAGTGCTTCTGACTTAGAAGACCATATCAGACACACGTATTTTTTACCAACATGTTTTGGTATAGTAGAGCAATTGAGACACTGGATACAGTTACAGACTCAAACAAAGAAGAGAATTAAGTTCAGACAGACACCACACATGGCAATGGCACCTCCAGCCTTTATTATGTCAAATTAAATAGCAGTTTACATGTGCAGCGCTTTAAAGCACCATTTCGTGTGAGCTAAAATAAGCATGTTTGTGAACAAGAGTGATCTTGCCTTCAGAAAAGATCATTTCCTGTGGTACAGAGCTTGGGAACTGCACACAGATTCTTGAATCTGCATACATTTACCTAACTATCTTTTAAGATGCTGTTGAACTTCGTTACCACGGAGGTAGCCTAGAACTTCTAGTTGTTTGAGTATCTGGCTTTGGAAAGGAGCTTCAACTGCAATAGGAAAAAAAAAAAGATAATTCTCAAAGCTTGTTACAGAATAGAATGGCCTAGAAAAAAAAACTATATAAACCAGGCTTGGCGGCTCACACCTCTAAGCCCAGCATTTAAGAGGGCAAGGTAGGAAGGTGGCTGCAAACTGGAGGCCAAGCCTGCTTACATAGTGAACTCCAGACCAGACTGGCTTACAGTGTGAGACTCTCTCAAAAACACAAAAATCAATCAAACAAACAAAAGGCAAATTCATTCAATCAGTTTGAAATTGGATCCCAATATCAGCATTTAACACAAAACAAGGCACCACCGCCTTCCCTGGACAGTTGCAGTTTGTAGCTACGATACTGCTCTAGCCTTTGAAGCCTGGCTGGAAATGTGGACAAGGAGGTTCATCTGTGGCTTTTGATTGGCAGGCAATAGGATGTGGGCTGTTCGTACAAGGAGTGTATTGAGCGGATACCCCGTGGACATCCACAGCTACTTTGGCTTCCCTAGCTACGTGACACATATTGATGCTGCTGTCTGTGAGGAAGAGAGTGGAAAAACATACTTCTTTGTTGATCACATGTACTGGAGGTAAAGACTGAGATACAAATAATGTTAGGGTGCCAGTTTGAATAGAGAAAGATCTTAAAATGAGTTTCAAATAGCCTTGGCCAACTGCCTTTGTTTGTGAATGGCTGTAGCCACTGAACATCCATTATTCCGTGGACTGGCAGGTCTCACATGGTGCTTGTACAAGGAATCCAGTGAGCCTGTGGCACTGTTCCATGCTGTGGAAAGACAGGACAATAAGAGCATTCAACTTCCTGAGCTTCTTTGACACAAACTTAGCCATTCACACAGCGTTTTACCTTAAGAGAACATCTCTGTAGTTCACTGGATTTCAGAGGGACCTTATGCATGTTCTGACATCCTCGGCATTCAATTTTTCCTCACCCAATTCACTCTTTTTTATTCTCAAGAATTAAAAATTTGTATGCAATCCATGCTGGTGTGATTCTATAAATATTTTAAGCAATCTGCATGTTTGGTCAAAGGTCCTAATACTTTTAACCACTTTTTGATCAGGTATGATGAATATAGACGGTCCATGGATCCAGGTTATCCCAAATTAATAACAGAGGGCTTCCCTGGGATTGGCGATAAAGTTGATGATGTTTTCCAGAAAAATGGTAAGAGCATAAACATTTTCTCCATTTGTTAAAATACTAAAAGTAACAGTATTGATATTTAATGTAAATATAAAAATGTAAATGAAAATACAAATGTAAAAAATATATATACTGAAGTCATGCAGTACTCAGTATTGAGTCAAAATCTGGAAACTACATGTATAATTTAATAAATATGTTTCATTTTATTTCTAGGGTATTTCTATTTCTTTCACCAATCAACTCAATACAGATTTGACCTCCAAACGGGAAGAGTTGGTGCTCCCCGTGATTCCAACACTTGGTTCAACTGCTGAGAGTTCTGGCAACCTGTTACCAAGTTAATGAAAATACATATCTCATCATCTTAAAGAAGGCGTTTTTCTGAAGAGCCAAGTATTTTTATATTTATTTACCTTCTAGAATTGCTGATATACAGCACTATTGAGTACAGTTTTATTTATATTTCATTTTACATATTTTTACAATTTATAGTATAATATTTTATGAACTAAAACAGTTTAGTGCCACAACTGACAGCCCAAGAAAGTCAAGTTCATGGCTGATAAGTCACTGAAGGAGGCTATTTGTCCAGTGAGTGACTCTGACAGACATTGATCCTAGGCCTCTCCTTCCAAGAGAGGAGGGTCACCAGACAAGCTCTCCTCGGAGGAAATGGCTCTTGAACACACAAACAGCTATACACGAGGAAAGTTGGTTGATACTTTGGTTCTTAAAACGGATCTTACAGCCCAGACTGGTGCTGGACTCCCCTCTTGTGCTGCTGACTCCCAGACGCTGGGATTACAGGCATGCCCATCATGCCCAGCTAAGAGATGCTTCTTGTACAAAATAAAGATTTGATACTTAAAGCCACTTTTGTCTCTAATGCTTTATACATTTTCTATTTCATTGTATTTTTATTACCTGATTGTAAAACCTCACTTATAAATGCTAATTTTTTTTCAAATTTGAAATGGAAAACAAGCAATACGAAAAATACTCATGAGAAAATTAGTCTATCCAAATTTTTCAAATTTCTACATTTTTGTGGACTTTGTCTACAGCAGGAGATGCCTCAAAAGCAAGGTATCATGGCACCTAGCCCTTAGCAATTATCATCCTGTGCCAAGGCAGAGTGGGTCTTTAACACTGGACTGTGGAGTATGTGGCAGGGCTACCAGGTTGGACAGGAAGAAGTCGTTGAAGTGGGTACCTATAACTTGAGACTTGGTATTCCAGAAAGGAACTCGGGAGTTTTTCCAATGTGCTGTTTACCTGGTACCTCACACTGTGCACACAACGATGTTCCATGGTGTGTGACAGAAAGCTCAAAACTTCTGTCTCATGGTGTGGAGTTAGCAGCCAGAAGGTGCGGGGAGACGGGAACGTCCATGGATCATTACATGGAAACGAAGCCCCCCTCCCCCCTCCCCCGCACTAGACGCTGGTCCTTAGGAAGGCCCAGAGAGCAATTTTCCCTAAGACTATAAGGTATATATTAGAAAAGGGACATATTGGAGTCTGAGACACTTACGAGTATGGGTGCGTGTACACATGCCTGTGAAGGTCATCCAGTATCTTAGTGTTTCTATTGCTGTGAAGAGACACCATGACCACAGTAACTCTTATAGAGGAAAACATTTAATTGGGGCTTGCTTACACTTTCAGAGATTTAGCCCATTATCATCATGGCAGGAAATGGCAGCATGCAGGCAGATAGGGTGCTGGAGAAGGAGCTGAGAGTCCTACATCTTAATCTGTAGGCAACAGAAGGAAACTGTGTCACATTGGCCACACTTGAGTTTATAGCCCTGAAAACCTCCAGAGTGACACACTTTCTCCAATAAGGCCACACCCACTCCAACAAGGCCACACCTCCTAATAGCACCACTCCCTATGAGCTGAGCATTCACACATACACACACACACACACACACACACACACACACACACACACACACGAATCCATGGGGCCATACTGTTCAGACCGCCACAGACAGAAGCCTCAGCTCTCATTTTTATGTGCCATCCACCTTTCTTCCTCTTTTTCTTTCTCTTCTTTTTCCTTTGTTTCTTTTTTTCCTTTCTTTCTTGAGACAGAATCTCTGAATGGTCTGGAACTCACTGGATTGTCTGAGCAGGCTGGCCAGCGAAGCCCAGATTCCCCACCTACTCCCTGATGCTGGAATTATAATCACACACACCCCCTTTTTACATTGCAACTGAAGTTTGCAAGCACTTAAACTGAGCTGTCTCCCCAGCTCCCTAGTTACTATTTTGATCAACATGTAAGTTGTGGTTAGCACATATAGGAGCTCTGTTCTAAGCTTTACACCTTTCCTTAATGAACTGCGGATGCCTGCTGGCTTGACTGTGTAAATGCTCAGTAAATTTAATAGGTGGTAATTTACTTAAGAACAAACAGGACTCTATAGCCCCAAGTCATTAATCTCTGCCAGGTGTGGAGGTTTAGAGTAAGTTTAGTCATCAAAATCACCCCTGGGAGGCAAGTCCGTCCTTTCATGGTTAATCAACTACGGTCACAACCATAGCCCTCGGGTACACAAGAACCATCAGCAGGGTGTGCCAACACTAACAAAGGTGTGACTCAAAGGAACACAAGGCATCTCAAAACTTGTCAAGTCAGCACCTCGGGGCACAGTTAGGAAGCCGCCCAGCCAATAAGCTCCATATGTTAAAGACACTAGAATATAATGAAAAGGGGCTTGTTCCCAGCATGGAGTATGCATAAAAACTAATACCTTTGAGTGATGTTTTCCACACCACAGGAAAAGTAATTGTGTGGTGATATCATGTACTTGCTCAAGTTGAGCCGACTTTGTCTGAGTCTCCTGGTGGTCAGCTTTGCCTCTGATTTTCAGGTTGGTTTAGTCTGTGTAGCACTTGACTGGCTGAGGGCATGCACCTCCCCCTCCAGGCTGTGGCTGAGAGGTCTCAGAGGCTCCTGGTTTATGGAGGTTTCTGTTGCCATGCCTCCCTCTGGTAGGGAGGTAGATGCTCCTGAAAAGGTCACTCCTATATTTACTTGTTTCTATCCCACTAATTTGAAATTTCATACTTCAGATATGGTAGGATTACTTTCTTTTCACTGAAAGGAAAATGTACTTAAAATGTTTTGTCATCCTCTGACCTCTCTATTAAGAAGCAAACTTGTGGGGCTGGAGAGACAGCTCTGCAGCTGAGAGCACTTGCTCCTCTAGAGGACGTGGTCAAGCTCCTAGCACCCACATGGCAGCTCACCACCTGTAACTCCACTCCGAGGAACCTGACCCCTCCTTCCAGCCTCTGAGAACACCCGCACACTCGTGACACACACACAGAAACATGTACTCATATGCATAAATAAAACAAATATTTCTTTAAAAAGAGCTAATTTTGGCCGGGCGGTGGTGGCGCACGCCTTTAATCCCAGCACTCGGGAGGCAGAGGCAGGCGGATCTCCGTGAGTTCGAGGCCAGCCTGGGCTACCAAGTGAGTTCCAGGAAAAGGCGCAAAGCTACACAGAGAAACCCTGTCTCGAAAAACAAAAAAAAAAAAAAAAAAAAAAAAAAGAGCTAATTTTGGCTTAACAGAGCTACTGCAGACTTTCTGTGTTTGAAGAGCACTCAGCTTGGCCGAGGGAGGAAGTGGAAATGCTCTTAATGGTAATGTTACACGAAGGGAAAGGCCTGGAGGTCCATTGTGAACCTCAGTCATCTGTACTTTGGGAGAAGGGAAGGGTAAATACTGGGAAGCAGAGATAAGGAAGGAGGCCAGGGGAGCATCTTCATCTAATGTGCAGTTGTCTCACCTCCACGTGACGAGTCTCTGTGGAGCCAGTACATGAGGACCTCGGTCATGAGACAGAGACTGGGCGGACGCCTGAGCTTCACCTCTGGACCTTTCTCCTCCATGTTGGTGGCCTTCTCACAGTACTCCCCACCTCTCCCAAGGGCCAGTAAATCCATCTGAAAATCAGTAATACCTGTTACACAAAGACTCGAAAAATGGAGTTTCTGTCATTATGTCTTCCTAGATTGCCATCCTCATAGTTACATTTGGAATCTTTTTCCATTAATCTGTTTACTCCTTGACTGCATGTATTTGAGCCTAATGCATGTTTTAAAAAAAACACTGTTTTCAAAATGTCTAAATATTCTACAAACATTAATTCTCCATGTGAGACCCTTACTCTATTCTCTAAGACGAAGAAGGAGACTTAGACAAAGATATCTTAATATAGATAGACCCAAGCCAGTTTCAAGCTCCCAGAAATGATGGCGCCAGCCCCAGGAACTCAAAAGTACAAAGTCAGGAAGAGCCATCTGGTAGCAACTAATTAACAAAAGAGTGCCCCAAATGCCTGACAAAAGCCAGGCCATTTGGTGGTGACTGATTAACCACGGGATGTCCCAACACCTGAGATGGCACATCTCAACTCTGGAGACAGGCTGTAAAGAGTTCTGACACAGTAAACAGACAAACTAAAATAAGATAACACGGAGGCCCAGGTAGATTTAGCCAATTAGAATTGTACCTGTACTAACTCCCCCATAACCTAGAGGGACTCGTGGTTCTTGCCTTTAAAAAGCCAGCCTCACAGAGAAAGAGCAACTCCTCCCTGCCTCGCTGTGACCAGTGAGTGCTTGGGGACAAATTCCCTGCCGGCTTGTATTGCTTACAATAAACCTTACTGTTGCATTCTGGATATCCTTGGTCTTTGGTGGTCTCTCTGGGGGTGATCTGGACATAGCACTCCAGTCAGTTCCTTTTCCTCTTTATAAACACAGAAGCCACTTCCTTGAGATTAAGCATTCTTTCAAGTTTAGTAGGTTGAGGGATTCACTGATGTAAGCTATTCTGTCTTCATGCTGAGTTTTGTGAATGAGCTTGCACATGTGAGTCATGCTGTTAGTGACCTAAACACTGACTGCCTATAAAAGAGTGGCCACTAAACGAAGCTACAGAAGTCAGGAACTGGAGAAGGGTTGCTTTACAAGTCGAGACTGTCTGCATGGAGCCGCTGGCCATCCTGGTGTTGCTGAGCCTGCCGATCTCCTCGGCATATCCTCTGCACGGGGCAGTGAGCAAAGACCACCCCAGCATGGAGTTTGCTCAGGTAAGCAATCAGTGAGGGATCCATTCAGCCCAAGTGGAAGGATAACTGTGCCTCCTTGATCTTCCAACAGGAGTAGATGACTTGATAAGAAGTTGTGTGAGAGGTAGAAACTTCGTCTTTACAGAGAAAGGCAGCAAGGCCAGGAAGGAGGTGTACTTACTTAGGGTGTACTTACTCAACTGGAGCAGCACCAGTTGACAAGAGATGCTGGCGACAGATGAGATCTCTTTTGCTTCGGAGTTATTTATCTTCTACAACTTCAAGAAATAATGCTTACTCTAATTTTTCATTTGTGAAGAAAAAATGAGTTTATCTAACACCAGTCAGTATTAGCAGGTCTATGTTAATAATGGAAATGGAAACTTAGATACATTCATTTAATGTACTCACAATTTTCGTAGCAAATTAAATTGCAATGAAATAATAAAATGGGGCATCTTAGTGAAAAAAATTAAAAGTATGACTCTTACTTTTGCTTCTGGGAATAATTAAAATAAATTTTGAGGTTTGTATAAAAGGTTTAAAATTCACAGTCACAGCTTTAAAATTGTGCTTGTCACTCCACTAGCAATATCTAGAAAAGTACTACAACTTTGAAAAAAATGTGGAACAAGTGTTTAGAAGAAAGAACAGTAGTCCTGTGGTCAAAAAAATCCAAGAAATGCAGAAGTTCCTCGGGCTCGAGATGACAGGGAAGCTGGACTCCAGCACTATGGATGTGATGCTGAAACCCAGGTGTGGCGTCCCTGACGTTGGTGGCTTCACTACCTTTCCAGGGTCACCAAAGTGGAGGAAAAACCACCTCACCTACAGGTAACGGGTCCAGTTTTCACTGAGTGTTAACACTGTGTCAGAGGCATCACGGGGCACACACTACCTTCTTCCATTTCTCTCATCCAGGATTGTGGATTATACACCCGATTTACCGAAAGAGAGTGTGGATTCTGCCATTGAGAAAGCGCTGAAAGTCTGGGAGGAGGTGACCCCGCTCACCTTCTCCAGGCTCTCTGAAGGAGAGGCTGACATCATGATCTCCTTTGCAGTTGGAGGTAATGAAGTTGTACAGTCACTCATCTGGTGTTTGAGTTGTTCAGGCTACTAAAACAAAGTACCTCACACTGGGAAATTTGTAAACTACAGAAAGGAACTGTGTGGAGTTCCAGAGGATGAGTAATATAAAACAAAGGGGCCACAGACTCAGCTTGGTGAGGGTCTGTTATTAGGTAACACCTGTGTTTCCTCGTGTAGCTGAAGTGGCCCAGAGGTTTCTCCAGCTGCTTTCACCTGGGTGCTAACCATCACAGAGCACTCATACCCTGTGCGTCTTCTAAAAGAGCTGCCTTGTGATCCTGTCACACTGGAGATTACATTTCAACATGAGAATTATGGGAGACATCAATATCCAGACCACACAGTCCCTGTGCTGTTTTGCTGAAAAGGATTAGAAGAAATTCTTACTTGTTATATCTCCATAACTTTGTTTCCCATCAGAACATGGAGACTTTTACCCTTTTGACGGACCAGGACAGAGTCTGGCTCATGCCTACCCCCCTGGGCCTGGATTTTATGGAGATGCTCATTTTGATGATGATGAGAAATGGACACTGGGACCCTCAGGTAGGATGAGTTCAAATATGAGTTGTCCAAGAATAGCTTGTCTAGAGCAAGCCTCAAATGGAATGTTCTGCCAGCTTCAATTTCTGATTATCTGTGTGGCAACCTGAAGCCCTATTCATCTAATCATTACTAAAAATCTGTAAACTGCTTTTTTCTTTGTCCCCACCAAGTACAATACAGTAAGCCCCATTAGATATCATTTCCACAACTCAGGATCTTGTACAGGGTTCAAGTGTATTATAAGTAATACTGTTTATCATTCCAATAATAAATGAGTAGTGTTGAGTGACTGCCATTGAATAAGTTGAAGCCCCAAAGGTTGCCCTTGCCTTTGAACTCTCATTTGCTCCTTTTTCTTTTAAATGTAGTGATTGGGAGAAAATGCCAGAAGCTAAAGGAAGATGCTCTGTTTAAATAAGCATTCCACCTTTGCTATCTCAGAAGCCTTTCTCCTCCCCAATTTTTTTTTCTGAAAAACGTTATTGAGTCTAGACATGGTGACTACTATTAACTACACTGTACTTAAATTTTATAAATTGCATTTGTACTTTGGAGACAGACTGTTGAAACAATCACAGTTTCTGGATTTCTAAGTGTGGGTTAGACCATTAATGTGAAGCGGGTCTCTACTAACTGTGTAGGTCTGCAGCAATGCCACATGATGAACAGTATTTCCAAAATTGCCTGAACTTCTGGTTTAATGATTAGCACTGACATAACCTTTCATTGTGTGAGGCAACTCTGAGTCCTGCTGTGTTCACAGCAGAAACAGGCAATGGACATGTTTCTGTTTATACTGGGATTTGTGCTCTTCATACAGCACCCCTTACTAGGAGATGGATTTTCTCTAAATCTAGTTTTTGATGGTTTCATAAATATAAATGATGCTCCATGAATATATTTATTTCCATTAACCTCTCTTAGGAAGGTTTTTTTTTTTTTTATAACGATCAAAGGTTGATGATGGTGTCCCCATAGTTTTGTTACTTAAGAGATTGAAGAATATATAAATAGCTTGTGGTTGATTTGAACTGTGGTTAAACCAGTTTGTTACTAAATATTAACAATTGTTTCTGATTTCTAGACAATAAAGAATTATTTTTATTGGCATGTGATTCATCTTGGTCCTGCCAAAAAAATCTCTTGGGGAAACAGGACTTACTACTGTTGATATAGGAAAAGTGACCTAGCATCCTGACTAAGGAGACTGCTAGAAAGCAGCTAGTGAAAACCTGTCTTAGACACTGACTTCAAGTTAACCAGGAAAGATGTGTGATGGAGTATGCCAGTTAGTGAGTCAACAAATAAGGAAGAGGCAGCCTGTGATCCTGAGGGTGCCCTGTGCAGTAGGCAGGAGTAATATGTGCACGTCTGTGAAATAGTAACTGCTAGGCTCTGAACATTTGTGGTTTCTCAAACAGGGACCAACTTATTCCTGGTTGCTGCCCATGAGCTTGGCCACTCCCTGGGTCTCTTTCACTCAAGTAACAAAGGAGCTCTGATGTATCCAGTCTACAGGTTCTCCACAAACCCGACCCAGTTCCGGCTTTCTCAAGATGATATAGACGGCATTCAGTCCCTCTATGGTGAGCATGAAGAAATAAGGGCCCAGGGCATTCTGTTTGTTTGTTTACTCTCATAAGTGCCCTTTGAGAATACTGTACATGCCATTAATAGCAGTAAGGTGTGAGTGGCTGATCATCTTTCCCTCAGCCCTGATGACTCAGAAGAAATGTAAGATTAATAGCATCAGAAACTAACTTAGACTTGGTGCTTAAAGAAGTTTCTGAACTAAAATCTCCACAAAATGAGGAAGGAGTCCAAAAAATGATCAGGAGCGAAACTGGCATACAAATCTTTAAAAAGTGTCTGACCACTTGACCAAGGCCACAAGACTGAGTTTATCTCAAACGCAGTGAATGGGAAGCAATGGGATTCCACAGGACACAGGTCAGGTATGTCCCTGCTTGAGTTCATGCCTCCTGTAAGGAGAGAACTCGCAAATGTGAAGACCCACTTGTCTGACCAGGATGGTATGACTCTTCCCTGATGCCTGCAAAAACCCTGAATGATGGTGACTCAAGATGACATCCAGGTTGTCAGAAGATCCTGAGACTTAAATGGAAGTCACTCTAAGGCCGGTGCCATCAGGCCTTCACAAAGAGCTGTGGAGTATGGAGGGACTGTTAGGGAGGGAGCTTTAGGTGTGAAGGCCCAAGGGTCAGGTGACCAGAGGACAGGGCTCGGGGTGCACCTGAGGGCAGGCTGGCTCCTGCTGAGCTCTCTTATCCAATCACCTCCTGGTGGGTCAGCCGCCCCCAGGTCTTCCACTCTTTCCTTTTCTTGGCAACTCATGTAGCTGTCAGTGACAGCACCTGGAAGTCCCCCAGCTGGCAGTCCCTACCCTGACATCCCTGGAACCTGCCTGCCTGGCAGGAATAAGGATATTCTAAAGAGACATTTGGCTAACAACTGGTGAAATGGTGGGCCCCTTGAAATTCTAATTTCTGAAGGAATCTCACTGTGGGAAAAGACTGAATCCTCCAGATGAGAATGTCTCTACTGAAGAGGCACTTACTCCTTATCTGATCACCTTGCAGGAGAGACGGAGCTGAGAATGGGGGAGGAGTTTAAGGATAGAAAAAAAATCCTTTATATGGCTTGGTTAGGTTATTTCATTCTGCATATCACTTGCCTTCTATCTAAATGGGTTAGGACTCCAAGGATGAATGTGTTGCTTTGTGTCTTCATCAGTATTTCAAATTAGTTACACTGAATAAATGTGGTGCTTTCAATTCTCATTTTAAAAAGAAAGAACACTGTACAGTAAGTCTTCAGGAAAGTTTTGCTTTTATTACGTTATTTATTTGTGTGTGTGCTGTGCATGCATGCTATAGCGCACACGTGAGAGTCAGAGGCCAGCCCTTGGCAGTGCATTCTCTCCTTCCACCCTGCGGGGCATGGGAACCCATCCAAGTGGTCAGACTCGGAAGCACCAGGTTCCTTTACGAGCTGAGCCTCCTCCCTGGCCCCAGGTTTAAAGGGCTGCATACTGTTTCATCTCAAAACACGGTGAAGAAGTTTGGACAGTGTGTAAATGGTTAGATGCACCCCTGATCTTCTAACACTTGCTTCTCCTACCTGTTCCCTTCAGGACCACGTCCCTCCCCTGACACCATAGTGGTACCTCTGTCCTCTGTCGCACCAAGACCTGAGACCCCAGCCAAGTGTGATCCTGCTTTGTCCTTTGATGCTGTCAGCACCCTGAGAGGGGAACTCCTGCTCTTTAAAGACAGGTTAGAACACAACATTGTATTTCCCTAGCTACCCTTTTGGTGTTCAATGCTCAGAGAGGAAAATAAACTTGGGATTATATATATTTATTTACATAATAAATACAATGTAGTATGATTACAACATATTCTCAGCATGTTTTAAAATCACTCAGCTCTGGTTTATATTGCATTTTTAAAGATGTCCTTGGAATTGTCCAGATTATTTCTTTCTAGACTCCCAGAAGAGGATTTTTGGTCAGTAGGATATAAGATCCATACAACCAGGGAAATTTGTCTCTTTTTTATATTTTTCACTCTTTATATATCATGACTCAAGGAACTTCTAAAAGTGCTAGCCATCTTTAGAACCAGACAAATATCTTTATCCTTGCTAGAAAGTGCTATTATTTCAATTAATTCATTTTAGAAAAGGTGATACATACTCACACACAATGCTCAAATAGTACCAAAAGATGTAAGAAAAGCCCTTCTGTTTCGGCTGTCCCAGATCCTTGCCTGTGTGTACCGACTGCTACCAATTTTCTTTATCCAATTTACCAAGGTGCTCACATTTAAAAAGGTACGAATATTAAAATACATTTAATATTTAGATATGTAATATTTTAAAATATTAATGGATTCATAAAATACATACTACTTTACATACCTTTGAATGGATTTGAGCTGAGTAATCTTATTGGAACAGGGTGAACATCCCTGTCACCCCAGGCTACATCCATCCCCTGGAATCACATGTAGGACATGCAGGGCGCACTGCTGTGAAGAGGTGAATCATTGTTGACCAGAGACTGTGCTCTTCTGTGCCTATTGTTTTAAAGAGAAAGGCTGTTGCAGTTCTCATACATTGCAGATACTTTTGGCGCAGAAGCCGCTGGAATTCTGAGCCTGAAGTCCACTTGATTTCGGCATTTTGGCCCTCTCTTCCCTCATACCTAGATGCTGCCTATGAAGCTCACAGTAAGGACAGTGTTTTCATTTTTAAAGGTAAGAACTGTACACATTTTTGGCTTTGCTGAAATAAAGCTTACTGTAAAACCTTCAAAGCATGAGTTTTCTCCATTGTGTTAAATTTTAGATGTTTTATTAGAAGAACAAGTCAGAATTGGTGATTGTGAATAAGCGTTTTAAAAGTCTGACCTACCAAGGAGAACCTTGTAAGGGAAGTCTAAGAAGTGTAGACCAAGAGGCCATTAGAAGAAATAACCAGAGCTGGCTACTGGAACCCAGAGAATAAATATAGAAATATGGAATAAATGCAGAAAAATGACTACAGAAAGGGCAGTGAATCTGCTCATCTATTTTTTTCATTTACCATTTCCCCCTCACTCAGAAAGTATTATTTTTGAGGCAAAGTCTCACTATGTAGCTCTGGCTGGTCTCAAACTCACTGTGTAGACCAAGCTGGCCTCAGACTCACAGAGGTTCCCCTGCCTCTGACTCCCCAGTGCTAGGATCAAAGGTGTGCGCCACTACACCCAGCCAGGAAACACTTTTTAAAATACCAGCTACGGACTAAGCATGGAGTTGGAATGAAAACCAAGGCTTCATCTTTCACCTTTATCAAACAATTCACTGTTCTTGTTTCTAAACCCAATTAGTTTCACTCAACATTTCTTGGGAAATTTTTCAACAGGAAGTCAGTTCTGGGCAGTCCGAGGAAATGAGGTCCAAGCGGGTTATCCAAAATCGATCCACTCTCTGGGCTTTCCTCCTTCTGTGAGGAAGATCGACGCAGCTGTTAGTGACAAGCAGAAGAAGAAGACGTACTTCTTTGTGGAGGACAAATACTGGAGGTGAGCTGCTGTGGGAACTTTGCTGGGAGCCTGGTTACAGGAGTCCGTTTCCTTTCTCTCGGGATACCTGCCCACCCTCTAATGTTCCCAAACCTCCAATGTTCAGACTAAGCAAAAGATAGCATGGCTGTTCAATTTCACAAACACACAGGGCTTTCCAGGTGCACCTATCCAGACACCAGCGGACATGAGGAAGTGTGAACCCGAGGGCCACAGGACAGTGTCTTCTCACGCCATTGTCGATCACCACGTGGCTGCCATGCAGAGCCAGGTGTAGCAGGCTGTAGGGTCTACCAGGTCCTGGTGTGGTAAATAGCAAGTCTATTTTTAGCCAACTTTTTAAACTTAGCTTCCATCTTCTGTTTATATAGATTTTATGTATTTATGACAGGTAGATTCTTGGGTTTTGTGTGTCCAGGCTTAGAAAATTGACCTTAGGTACATATATGGAATTTCTATAGACTATAGCATGATGCCCCTGTTTCAAGAGATCATTGTTCTACAAGAGATGCTTACAAGCCAGAAAGTTCACATGTTACCATATGCCCCTCCAACACAAAAAGTATTTAGTGCTGCACAATTTGAAAAGTTGCCCTAGGACCCCACACTGAACTGTTAGCGCTGTGTGACAGCGTGTGTATGACGGGACTTGTCTTGGTGTGGATCTGAATTCCTTTTACTTGCTATAGATTTAATGAGAAGAGAAATCTGATGGATAAAGGCTTCCCCAGGCTGATTAAAGATGACTTTCCCGGAGTCAAATCACAGGTGGATGCGGTGTTGCAGGCCTTTGGTAAGGAGAACTTCATGCCATCAGCAGTGGGGGCGTTTGGGCATTTCAGTGTCTGTGAGGCTGTTTGAACTGGTAGCTTACTATTAAAAAATGTTACAATAAACATTTGCCTATAATTTTTTAAGTAATATTCACAAAAACTTATCAAAGTTGGTTGATTTTATGTGATGTCAAAACTCGATAAGGTTGTTAAAATGTCAATAATGAAGTAAGAAAACGAAAAGCTTTCAAATCATTTGCCTTATGCCTTTTTTACTCAAATCCTGAAATATTAACTTGAAATTGATGCCAGTTGGGTCTAAAATTCTGTTTTTCTTTAACAATTTTCAATATTCTGTCCCATGACACTGGCTCACAGTCATAGTTCACACCACTGTACAGGCAAGTGTGAGCCAGGCTGGCTGGTAGCTGGTTCCATCCCCACCAGCCCATCTCCTATCCCAACTGCCATGCCTGGGCTTCTGTTACAGTCTGAAATTACTTACATTGCTCACTAGAAAATAGATACCATCCTTTCATGTGCTCAAGTGACAAAATTTGATTGCTGGTAATGGACTTATGGGAAAATAAAACGTTTGCTTGCTCCCTCTGAAGGTATATCTGGGGGGTCTCCCTGGGCTTCAACTGTGGTACTCCTGAGACCACTGACACTGCTTTTAAAACTACTTGCCCATGATATACACAAGAAGAAAAATGAACCTCAGATGAGTTTCATTTGTCTAACTCTCTTGGGTCCATTGACTCCCACACCATGATTTAAGAGCTAGTTGGTACAAGGGAGTTTGGAAAGAAAGGAAGGAAAGAAGGAAGGAAGGAAGGGAGGGAGGGAGGGAGGGAGGGAGGAAGGAAGAAACCTTTAAATATTAAAATCCTTTCCAATTCTATCTGTTTAATAGTAGTATATTCTGGTGTTTTAACATGCTGCCTTCAGAGCCAGAGAAATGAGATGGAATCCTTGCTCTGCTGTTCACTGGGGCTATTGCCTTGGGAAAATGTTAACATTTTCCTAATTTTTAGTTTGTCCTCATTCGGTTTGGCAGACATTTTTGGTAAGGATTCATCAATGAGTTAAAATCATGCAAATTATTCAGCTCAGTGCCAGGCAGACATCACCTAGCCTACATCCTCCTCCATCAGCTCGTGTTCTTTCTTAGTTACTGATATCATAAATTTGATTTATTTAAGATAGTGTCATCATTTTTCTTATCTGTGTCTGCAGGTTTTTTTTATTTCTTCCACGGATCATCACAGTTTGAATTTGACCCCAATGCCAGGACGGTGACCCACACCCTGAAGAGTAACAGTTGGCTCATGTGCTGACTGTCATGAGGAGACATGTACAAACACTGGAAAATGAGCCCTGCCATTTCTCACCTAATATTATGTGTCAGGATGATTAACTATTCCTGTGTGTTCTGTGGCTCAAGAAGATGAGTCCAGAAGATGCCTTTCTTAGACAGCATCACCTGAACTCCTGCACTTGCTCTTGAGTTACACTGCACAGGAGTGAAAATTGCTCATTGCAGTTGGGGAGAGGCTGCATCTCCACGAGTACTTTACTGTTTAATAAAGAGCTTTATTTTTGGACCATTCCTGGCTTCCTGGAGTAATTCCTGCTCAGAACATTAGTCATGCTGTAGACTGAGCGTCTGAAAGACAAGATGCATAGGAGCAATGGAGCATGCACTTCTCGGATGGGGCCATGTGGAGTGTCTGCACCAACAAAATCTTTACTTTTGCCTCGTACACGTTGCATTCTCTATGTATCTTAAGAAGAATGAGATACATTAAGAGTTGTCCTGTAAGACTGGGGAAGGAGCCTTTTAGAATACTGAAGCCTGCAAACCGAGGTTATGAGCTAGTCTACTTTATGACTTTACATGTAGGGAAACAAAATTAATTTGGAGACTTAGTCATCTCTTCATTTCTTCACTGGTACTCCTGCCTGTCACAGAGAAGGGAGTTCTCATAACAACTTCACTTCTTCATCAAAACATTCTCGTTTGGTTCTTGTTTCTAGAGGATTCGCATGCATTCTAGTTGTGTGGTAGTGTTCTCACAGTGAGATGTGTCCTACCCATACCAGGTACATTATTGTTGATTCACATAAATGTCTGCTGCTGTCATAGATCCAAGGCACAGAACCAAGTCAAAAATACATTTAACCCAACCTCATTGATTTCCATATGGGGTGGTAGGGGATAAGCTGAGCAAACAAAAGCAAATTGTTACATAACTACAAGTGACAGATATTATTAAAGAAGTGACAAGAGGAGGAAGAAGAAAGCGGGGACACACACACACACATATGTATATATATACATATATATATATATATATATATATATATATATATATATATATATGCCTCAGCTCCTTGAACATGACAAGGTTTTTGTTTTTTTTTTTCTGATGAGACTTCAACAGTAACTTTACATTTTCTTGGCATGGATCCATCTCCTCTCACTCATCTACTTGGATATGAATTTAGATGCATTTTTCCATTATCATGCTAGAGAAAGCTTTCTAACCAACAAAACTAAAAGAGTAGATACAAGCGGTTCATAAGAAGTGGGAAAGGAGATGTAGAAGATGATTTAGGTACACAGAACAACTCATCCAGGCTATCTAGATATTTATGGAACTACATTTTACTTACTATGCTGCTGTGGATTTTGCTCTGTATGCTGTGAATGTGTTGCTCTGATTGGTTAATAAATAAAGTACTGATTGACCAGTAGCCAGCAGGAAGTATAGGCCAGACAAAGAGAGAGGAGAATTCTGGGATCAGGAAGGCTGAGTCAGGAGTCACCAGCCAGGCACAGAGGAAGCAAGTTGTAAAAGTAGTCGTAGGCCACAAGCCACATGGCAACTTATAGATTAATAGAAATAGGTTAATTTAAGATATAAGAACAGTTAGCAAGAAGCCTGTCATGGCCATACAGTTTATAAGTCATATAAGTCTCTGTGTGTTTTCTGAGCAGCTGCAGGAGCCGGGTGGACACAGGAAAACTCCAGCTACACTATGCATTGAAGGAAATGTAAGGAGAGAAGTAACGTGATCCACTGTAGTGAACAATTTCTCTACCTGAAAAGAACAAGCAGGGGAGGAAACAATGATAAAAGGGCTGTGTAGACACTTATATCCACCCCAAGATGCTCTCTGCAATTGATACCTGAAGGCAAAGGAAAGTGGGATCTCACTGGGTATACTAACT